AAACTGGATATTACCATAAATCATAATTCAGGAAAATTAGAAGAAAATTTTTAAGAGGCCTTAATCAGTGGAGCTCTGCTTGAAGGGTTAAAGATTTATAGTAAGTATATGCCATTAAAAGTGGCATCAGAAGCTAGCATAAAACATTTTAAGTATTTTAAACTATTGAATACATTTATACCATATATTTTCATTATAAAGTGTTTCTAAAGAAAGCTATAAATTCTTACTTAGTTCTGAATCAATAAAGATTTAAATTAATAGGAACCTTTGTAACATCCCATACTTGCTACTTTTCTGAGCAAATAGCTTTACTTCTTAAATTTCTATATTAACACAATTTGAAAAGCCACTTTACATTTGTTTTCATCCCCATGTTGACTTTAATGTGTATGTTATTCAGAATTAATTTAGTAAATTATTAAAGCTAATAGTAAATTATAATTTACTCAAGTAATAATCTACTTCCAAAATATACTCTTTATTTTTTATCCCTGATGGTGTTGTTTTAGTTTCTTTTATAAATAAAGGCTGTTTACACTTTTAGCCCCTTGAATTACATTTCTCTGAATGTAAAAGCTCCCACATAAAATAATACTTCTGTTTAAAGTTTAACTCAACAATAACACAAACTTACAAAGTCCTTTCATTACTCAAGCATTAAACAAAAACGGTATGTGTTCAATAAATATCCAATGAATAAATGATTGTGTACTTATTCTATAAATGATGCTCAATTCCAGATTTGACCAAGGGCAAAGATGGTGGATAGATAACAGCAGCTACTGAGGCTCTCTGAGATAGCCAACTTAGCTTCCAAAAATAATACAGCGTGGGGAGTCCCAAACAGAGGGAGATACACCCTGCCGACCCAGGAATGAACTAAGCTGAGAGAAACCCATTAAAAATACAGTCCTGGTGCTACAATTGGAACAGCTAAAGTCTTGGTACCACCACTTGAACTCATGGCTTGAACACCCTGCTGCTGCTGCACCTGAATTGGTGCAGGAGATGCAAATTCTCTGAGAACGGGAATCAGTGAACCAAATTAAGAGCAGAGCTGGCAGGGTACCCTGCACTGACCTGCAGTGAGTGAGTGGAATAAAAAACCCTTCCATAGACAAAGAGGCTCCAACAGACGACATTCTAGAACCAGGCAGACTGGCCAGAACAGGGTGCTGCAGTGACTTCAGTCACATATTCCATTCTCAAGCAGGATTGGTGGGGAGCACTTGACCTGGATGATGCTATGGACTAAGGCCCAATAGGCTAGCCCCAACCAAGTCCCTATGCCCGACTGTGCACCCTAATGCAGTGACAGTAGATTGACCTGGAGGTGTGGGCCCAACATAGGATGCCCGGGTCTGTCCCTCCTAGTACACTGCAGTGGGCAGGACCACTTAGTCAGCATGCGTCAGACAAACTGAAACCAACAAAGAAAGAAACTGGGCCTCCTATATACACCTGTATGGAAGGAACAAAAATATAAGAAGAGGAGGCAACAAGAAAGGGTCCTCAGTCCCCAATCCTGAGAACACTGATCCAGGAAAGATAAATGCAAAGGAGAATGAGGACAGAAAACATGCACTATCAGGCATGGAACCAATAGACATAAAGCGATATCTTCGGGACCTCATAGATGAGTTCAAAAGTGAAGTATTTAACCAAGTAAAGCAAGATATAAATAGAATAAAGAAATGCTAAGCACCTCCCAAGAAAAAACAGATGGTAGAATGGAAGAACAAAAAAAAAAAGAGAATTGTTTAATAGAGAAAACATAGAATACATGAAGCAGGTTCAAAGAGATTACCAGGAAACTAAAATCTCTATTAAAAGCTGGTATAACAGCTTGAAAGAAACTAAGGATAGATTATTCAACTGGAGGACAGGTTTGTAATGTGGGAACATGAAAGGAAAATTTTCTTAAAAATAACAAGGAAACAAGCAGTAACAATACAAAGGCTAGAAGATGACAAGAGAATCTATAACTTAAGAATAAAGAATGTGAATGAAGAAGCAGGGGTATAAACAAAGGAACTGCAAAGGCTATTCATAAGGAAAACTTCCCAAACATAGGAAAAGGAAAAGATGCCCAGATGTACGAGGCATACAGAACTCCAGCCACCTATAATTCAAACAGAACTACACCCACGCATATAATAATCAAGATTCCAGAATCCAATATAAGAACAGAATATTAAAAGCTGTCAGAGACAAGAAACAGATCACTTACAAGGGAAAACTCATCAGAATTACAGCAGACTTCTTGGCACAAACCATCAAATCTAGAAGAGCATGGGGTGAAATAATCCAAGCCTTGAAAGACAATAACCTCCAGCCAAGATTGATATACTGATATATCAATTGTCCCTAGAAATTAATGGAGAAAAAAAGGTGCTTCCAAGATAAAGAGGAACTGGGGGGATTCGCAACCACCAATCCAACTCTACAGAGAATACTACAGGACATTCTAAAGAGAGAAAAGTGCAAGAATTTCAGAAACAATGGCAGAGAGGCCCCAATGAATGGAACAAAAAGCGAAATAAAGAAGACAGACAACAAATGGTGGAAGAGCAAAACAGAAATGAGGCAGAGAAGGTTGTATATAATTTCTAATTTAGATGACCTGGATACACTAACAAGGGGAAAAAAAAAAGAGAATCGCAGGCAGAGTGGATCAAGAGGTAGGGTCCACCAAGATGCTCTTTATAGGAATGAAGAAGGATATATGGAACAAAATCAAATATGAGAAAACGGGGAGAGTAATAGGGAAACTGGGCCAGTATTTATGGATAGGTTGGACAGGCTTTAATTAGTGAAGAAATATAACTAGAAATCCAGTCCAGGAGTGACAAAGTTTGGAAACAATTAGGTAAATAGCAAGTTGCCCCCCCAATATAAAACCGTGAGTGTTGGGGGGACCCAAAAATACAGTTCATCCTGGGGGAGTGAAAGGGGAAGAATAGCAGAAGATATAGCTAATCGTGTATAAGGAATTAAAACCCTTATTACTCACACCACTCTGCTTGGATGGAACTTGTTCCATCCTAGTTTGTATACAAGCACTGGATCTGAGGGCACAGACAGCTATCCTAAAGATATCAGGACATAGCACAGTGGTCATCTTTAATTTCCTATTAACTCAATCAGGATCCTTGTATGACTTTTACTGTTGTATGATGACTGATCTTAGTTAAATTTGATGTGTTTGATTGCTGTTTATTATTGAAAAATTTTATTCAAAACTGTTAGATTGCTGGTATCAAGTTGAATATAGACAACTATACTGAAAATGACAATGATTCACTATGACATCCATTCTGATTTGATTACCTGTTTTTGTAGCTCTACACTATCTACAAAGTTGTATTTCTATTAATTCTAAGTACTGATATGTTCAATTATACTTTATCTGATGATACAGCCAATTCTGTTGATAACAAGGAACAGCACAGTGACCATGGTAGAACTCCTTATACAGCAATTTTATATATCTTTTTAGTTTTATGTGTCTATAGGAATATGTTTAGTTCTGTCCTGCTTTGTTCTGTTTCTCTCTCTAATATAGAAAGGATAGAAATACATGTTAAGACTCATGCTTGTGTAAAACCTATAAACAGTTTATGAGAACTGATCTTATGACACATGATGAACAAATAATTTAAAGGAAAGAAAGGGGCACTGCAGTGCTGATTCCGGAGTGTTATGATGTGAAATCCAGCAATATTATTAATCTTTGTTCAGAAAGATTTTAATCTAATAAGTTTAGTTAGGCCTCAACATAAATGAAGATATGGATAAATGCATATGTGTTTAAGTGTATAGGATTGATAGCCATATTACTTAGTTTTTGTTTGATAGTTGAACAGAACTGTTTGCAGTCTCCCTGGTTGAATTCCAATTTATATGTTCCACTTTTGTATCTTGAACAACTATTTGTGGGGGGACAATATGTATACATCAACTAGTGATTTATTACTGTTTATTTCTTTTCTTTGAAAGTGTGTACTATTTCTGCCCATTTTCTATTTTGTCTTTCTTTAAATAATAATAATAATAAAAAGATTTGACCACGACCTAAACCCTAATTAAATACAAACCACATGGCCTATTTCAGAACAATTTTTGTGACCTAGGAATCTATTATGTTCTTTCTAATTTAAAAAATATTAATTGTGAAATCTAACTGGTGTCTATCCAAAAGAATGTCAAAACTATTGTCAAAAGGAATAGTTTCTTCTATTATGATGGATTCATCAGAAATAATAAGCACAGTATATATGTACATCAGTGCATCCATTTTTGCCTATGGTTAACTGAGATCTAAAAGTAGAGGAATTAAACAAAAACTATACCAATAAAGTTCCTTCTACTAGATGAACCTTCACTTACATTATATTGTAATACATCCTAGTTATTGCAACTCATTACTTGTAATACAGACACTAATTGAGTGCATCTTTTTCTACCTATAAATTAAGAAAAGGCATACATGGCCTCCACAAAATAGAAAAATTTTTTATTCTAATTATAGTATCTACGTTTCTTAACTGAGAAAGGATATGACATAAAGGATAGTCTATTTTACTTGCAAAAATTATAGCTTTTTACTGGACGTGGTGATGCATGTCTATAATCCCAGCACTCAGGACGCTGAGGCAGAGGATTGTTATGAGTTGGAGACCAACCTGACTTAAAAGTGAGCCCAAGGTCAGTGTAAACTGCACAGTGAGACCCTGTCTCAAAAAAAATTATATACTTAAAAAATTTTAGAGACGAGACATATTTAGGAAGGATCAATATTCTATCGGTCAATTAACCAATTAGAAAAACATTAGGAATTGGGTCCAATTTGACTTTAAATAACTATGAAGTAAATTTATAATTTTTGATAAATAATTATTTCTTTTTTTGGTAAGAAATACTGCTTTTATTGAAAGGATAAGTAATTAAACTGCATAAAAATACATGGTATATTTCATTAAGATGAAAATTCAGGACATCTTTAAATAAAGTTTTTATTATTCCTTTGCTATACTTTACAATCTCATTTATGTTACAAAAGAACAGTCAAGATCAGTATTAGATATTTACTTTATTTTTCCTTATTCTGATCCAAATCAGAATCATAATAGTGAAATAAGGTGATTTTAAGGCAACAATGGAAGGAAAAGTATATACATACATATAAATACAAATATTCCTATATATATACATATATATGTATATGTGTGTCTATATTTCATTCAGATAGAAAACATAAGCAAAGCAAGATTAAAAGGAAAAACAACATATAAATTATTGTGGAAAAGTAAGCATGCAACTCGTTTAATCTGGAAACATACATTATATATATTTAAATCAAAAACATATTCAAAATTGTACCTATATTGTTTCCTAAAGTCATACATCTGAGAGTCAAAAGCTATAAGACATGATAAGAATCAAATAAAATGAACATGTAGTGCAGTATTGCTAGTATCAACATCAATTCTATAACACTGTCGATTATATTACTATATTTAGCAATGCAAATTGTATGTTAGTTGACCAGATTCATTTTGGCATTTACAGATGAAACATGTTACCTATATTATATTTCAATTAGAATCAGAATTTTCAGATGCAGTATCACTAATGGTTGGTAAAACTCTGAAACTCTGTTTTCTTGCAATTCTAACTTGATGTAAGTGTTCTTTCATGTGCTGGAAAATATGGCAGATTCGTCCTTCTATACCAGGTACTGCGATTACTGCTGATGGCTTATCTGATTCTTCCTCAAAAGCTGTAAGTACAATAAAACCAGTTAAAAATACATTATGAGCCCCAAAATATATATTCTAAAAATTAGAACACCACATGAATTGAAATTCACATCATTAAAATTTTAATCAGAATTTCTCTATTCACTCTTAACTGTTCAACAATGAATAAAATTTCATTGATATTACCACATTAATATATACAGAATCAAAAGGACATTAATCCATTTTTGTTTAAAAGTTTAAAGACATAATAAATGAGAAGGTAAAGATTTCAACCATACATATATTACAGCAGACCCCATAAAGATATATAATTTTATGCATCAATTTTTAAAACATCTTTCAAAGTATTGCTATATGTAAAATACATAGTACTGACCAATGTATATATGGCTTTATTTAAATGAACAGATTTGATTATATGTCTTACAATGTGATTTTTATTGTTTCTCATTTCACAATTGGAAATACAGAAAGTATGATTATTAAAACCTATACTTTTGTGTGTTAAAAATAAGCTATGCATTTTACTTTCAAAATTATTACTGTGTATATTTATGAAGACAGTTATTTACCAACAATTAGCCAATTATAAAACCCATTATTAAGTTATTTTACATAAAAAGCATACAGGAAGGCTTCATTCCTTCGAACTCCCATAAGATACTTAAACTTACAGATTTTCAAGAAAATGTTTAGTTGCAAAAATATTAAATAGTAAAAACTATATTTGAAGTAGTAGGTGATAAAACAATAATGACCCAGATTTTTTTAGATTTGATTTTGCTTTATGTTATTGAAGACTGAATCCAAGGCCTTGGTACCAAGCTACATCCCATACCCTTTTTATTTATTTTGAGACAGGGTCTTGCTAAATCACTGAGTTGTCCAGGCTGGGCTCAAACTTGTAATCCTCCTGCTTCAGCCTCCAGCTGGCATTATAGGCATTTCCCACCATGCCCAACTTGAATGAACTAGAAGTAAGCACAATGACAAGCACCTTACAATTCCAGCGGCTTAGCAAATTGAGGCAGGGGCTGGGGATATAGCTCAGCAGCACAGCACCTGTGTGTGGCAAGTGCAAGGTACCAATTCCCAGTACCAAAAAAAAAAAAAGTAGAAGAAGAAAGAAAAAGGGCTGGGGATTTAGCTTAGTGTGGTACAGCAGCTGCCTGGTAAATATGAGGTCCTAAATTTGATTCTCAGTACAATAAAGAACAAAAAAACAAAAACAAAAATTTGAGACAGAGGCCCTCTTATGTGGCCAGAAGTTCAATGCCAGCCAAGGTCCCAACTCAAAGAGAAAAACAAAACAAAAATAATGGAAAGAAGGAAAGACCCACTGAGGACAGGGAAGGGAGAACAGGAAGATGGAGGACTGGGCTTCATGAGTTAGGACGACTATGGATATGTCTGTAAGCTGAGAAGACAGATTCAAGTAAGTGAATCAAGAATGAAGATTCAGTGAAGGAAAGGGACAAGTGACAAAACAAGACCCTGACTTGGGGCAGCAAGGCGGAAATCAGACTTACATAGTTACCAGGTGAGGTTTATTATTTCCTTGTACTATTTCCTTGTAGCATATCTCTTAGCTGTCACTTAGATCAACTAGAAAAAATTTTCCTGCACTTTTTTCCAGAATCCAGTGTCCCTCCTGCATTTGGGACACATGTAAATGACTTTTAAGTGATCTTTCTGTACCTTTAATGTACATGTCAGTCTATTAGGCTTTAAATCTTGGTCCTCCATTGTCCGTGATCCGTCTATCGCCACATAAAGATGGCGCATCTATCAAAAAGGAAGGGAATAATCTCTGGTCACATCTTTCACCAAGAAGTAAAACCGCATTCAATATTCACATGTTCTGAACACAGCTTTTAATATATTCTTTTAAAAAGTTTGTTGCTTTATTATTGTTCATTCTGTAGAGCCAGAATGTTTCTGTAATCCAAACTAGTTCTGTACCAGTAAAAGAAAAAAGACAACATACCATTCCAAGGCGAACTTGTCCACGGTGTTCAAATACTCTATTAAAATTATACAAGCATTTTAATGGAATATCATATGCTATCCAAAAAGTTAATACAGCTTGCTAATTAATATGTATTTTTTTAGTGAAGTCAATTATTAACTTTTGGGATACACATAATTATAGAGATTGTAGATAATTCCTGAAACCCATTTCCCTACTGAGGTAAGGTATGATAGTACCAGTTCTTTCTGCCTATTCAGACAACTACCAGTCATTTTCTCTGAAACACAAAAGGAAATCAAGTTCTAAGATAGTTACAGGTGGGCAAAAAGGTTCAGGGACACAATTTCCTTTCATGACAAACTTAGGAAGAATTTACCGACCTTTTTCTCTTTGCCTTGAAAAGAATGTCTTCTATTGTAGCTTTAAGTGAGCCAGATTCATCTTCTTTAACAATTTCTCTGTAAGTAATAACGGCTTAAAATATAAGCTAAAAATAACCCAAGAAATAAAGAGGTGGATAGATATTTGTACATGTGTGTTCACAGTATGATTCTGTGTAATTGTGAAAACTGTAAACAACCTAAATGTACACCAGCTGCTGAACTGATAAAACAAAAATGTGTCATAACAATATAATAGAATACTATTTGGAAGTTTAAAAAAACAAGCTTGGGGGCTGGGGATTTAGCTCAGCGGCATAAGTACCTGCCTTGTAAGCAGGTGGTCGTGAGTTGGATCCCCAGTACCGGAAAAAAGAACACAAAAAGTATTAAAAAAAAAAAAAAAAAAAAAACAAGCTTGGTGTGGTGGCACATGCTTATAATCCGAGCTACTTGGGAGGCTGATGCAGGAGGATCAGAAGTTCAAGGCCAGCCTGAGCAACCTACACGTTAACTCAAAATAAAAAAATGAAAAGTGCAGTGAATATAGCTCAATGGTAAAGATCCCCAGTATAATCCCCAGTACTCATCCCCGTCATCTCGCAGGGAACCAATTCAGCTACTGAAGAGCTACTGCGGCAGAAAGACTGTGAGCTCAAGATCAGCCTGACCACACAGTAAGATCCCATCTCAAAGAAAAGGGAAAAAAAGAAACAAAGCACTGACATACTCTACAACATAGAAGAGCCTTGAAGTAGTATATTAAGGGAATGCCAGATACAACACACCAGTTTTTTTTGGTACCAGGGATCGAACTCACAACCTAGTGCTTGCCAGACAGGCACTTAGGCTGCTGAGCCAAATCCCCAGCCCAACGCACCACATATTATATGATTATGGGAAATAGAAAGGGAAAATCTATAATAAATAACATAAATTAGTGGGTGTCTACAGGCAATGAAAATGGAATTAAATGTAAGTAGCCATTAATTAAGTAGTCACTGGAGTAGTTAAAGTGTTTTTAAAACTGGTTTATAGGAGGAAAAATGACTGACTTATGGTGCCACATGCCTGTAATCCCAGGTCTCAGGAGGCTGAGGCAGGACTGTGAGCTCGAGATCAGCCTGGGCTACAAAGCGAGCTCAAGGTCAGCGAACTGCATAGTGAAACCCTGTCTCAAAAAGACAATGGCTTATGATAGGAAATTTTCTGGCTTATGAGAGTAAATTTTCTAAAAACAGTCACTTAACTACACACTGGAAGTGGGCAATTTTTTAAAAAGAGATAATATCTAAAAGAAAAAAGAGGGCTTAATGCCATACTTACCAAGCTCCCTCATAGCCTCCTTCCCATCGCTTAGTTCTTTCAGGTTCTTCATCCATATTTTACAAAGTGTGTATTATTCAGCACTCTAAAAGCCATAAGACTATGAATGTTCTAAACATGTCTGTACAAAATGCTTCCACTTATTTAAAAGTTAAATGGGGGTTGGGGGCAGCCATGGTGGCACACACCTGGAAACCCAGCACTCAGGAGTCTGAGGCAGGAGGACTGCAGTGAGTTCAAGGCCAGCCTGAACTACAAAGACAGAGCATGTCTCAAAAACCAAAAATGGGCTGGGGATACAGCTCAGTGGCATAAGTGCCTGCCTGGCAGGGGCAAGGTCATGAGTTCAACCCCCAATACCAAAACCAACCAACCAACCAACCAAAAAAACCACTGATGGGTATGGCAGTGCATACTGTATCACAAACTACTCTGGAGGATGAGGTAGAAGGCTTTCAAGCTCAAAGCCAGGGTGGGCAATGAAGCAAAACTGTCTCAAAATAAAATTCAAAAGAAGAGCTGTGGCTATAGCTCAAAAGCACTTGCCTAACATGCAAAAGGCCCTGGATTTAACCCCTAGAACCAGAAGAAAAATAAGAATGGAAGCACGTCTTTTTCTTTTTTATTGGTACCAGGGATCACACACTTGCAAGGCAGGCGCATATACCGCTGAGCTAAATCCCCAGCCTCAAATGTAAGTACATCTTATTCTTTGTAGTTTACTCAATCATTTTGTTAGGGCCAGAGATATAGCTCACTGGCACAGCCCTTGCTTGGGCAAGTACAGTTCATGAGTTTTTTGTTTTGTTTTTCTGTCCTGTCTTTTTTGGAGACAGGGTCTCGCTACTTGGTTCAGGCTGTTTGGGCTCACTTTGTAGTCCAGGCTGGTCTTGAACTTTTAACAATTCACCTCCCTCAGTCTCCTGAGTGCTGGGATTACCGGAGGGAGTGTGCTACCACACCCCGCAAAGTCATGAATTTGATCCCTAGCACCAAAAAAAGAGAAAAAAACAAATTGTTGTTAATGAAAATACACAAATATGAATATTTATGAACAAACATGATTCCAATACAAATAAACACCCTTTTACAATTTGTGAAAGAACAAAAATGCTTTATGGACATCACAAAACAAGAACACAGAATTATGGGAGTCAATACAGGTGTAGCTGAAATATCCACAAGTGACAGTTACCACAATTGGTAAGTATCTGATGATTCATTATGTTCTCTCTCCACCTTTGTGTAGGTTGAAATTTTTTGTTTTGAGGCAGGGTCCCATTATGTAGCCCAGGCTGGCCTTAAATTCATGCTGATCCTCCTGCCTTGGCCTCCCAAGTGCTGGGTTTACAGGTGTGTGCCACCTCATCTGGCTGTAGGTTTGAATTTTATTATCAAGCTTTTAAGACTGAAACATCATTTATAAATGGCTAAATGCTTAAATATCATAAGTCAAAAGAATAAAAATAAATAGCCAGGTGTGGTGGTATATACCTGTAATCCCAGGGGCTGAGGCAGGAAGATCACCACAAGTTTGAGGCCAATCTGGGCTATATAGAGAGTCCAAAGTCAGTCTGAACTACATAAAAAACAAACCAAACCAAGAAACCAAAAAACAAAAATACCAAAATTGGTGGTAGAAAGAGGCCATAAACCATAACCAAGTAATACACATCTCTAGCACACCCAACCTCTACCCTCCCCAGGGGTGTCTCCTGGCCCAACCCAAGATGAGAGTCATATACCCTGTCCCTGGCATGGATAAAGACAACTTTTTAGTCAGGATGAACTGTTTTCCACAGGCTACTCTGCCTTCTTAGGTCTCTACTTGCTAGATAACATGGCAATAAGGAGGAGTGCCTGACCACTGTACTTTCACTATATGTATATGAGGTTAGATTCCAGAGTTGTATTGCAGCCTAGGGGCCTTTGACTAAGAGGAAAAAACAGAAGAAAACACCTATCCCTTGGCAAAGTCTTCCTTACTTTTTAAATTCCATACAATTGTAAATGGAGAATGTACTGAAACTGTTCAGTATGACAAATATATTTAGTATATTTGACACAGTTTATACTGACTAGATTTTCATTTCAAGAATGTCAACAGGAAGTTGACCAAGGACTAAGTGTGGTTTCAGAATTCAAGGATAAGTTTACAGAAATTTGCCAAAAATATGGAGTTGTTAAGGAAAATACTGTGACCGACCAATGTTTGCATGTGTGTTGAGACAGTCTCACTACATAGTTCAGGCTGGCCTTGAATTCACTATATACTCCAGGCTGGCCTCAAACTTGTGGCAATCCTCCTGCCTCAGTCCCCCCAGTGCTTGGACTCCAGGGGTGCACTACTACACTTGGCTTTTGGGACTGACCTATGTTGATCGCTGTCTCCAGCCCTGAGCTGGAGGAGTGGCTGATCCTAAATTGAGTGAATACAACCCCACCTGGTCTCATCCTTCTTTGCCTCTGTGTCTCAATGACTATGACTCTCACATGTAAGGGTGTTATCCCTGCTCCTCCAGAATCTTCCCTAATTGCCCAGGAAGACTTATCAATTCACCAAGAATAAAAGATTTTCTCTAAGTGCCCCGTCTGCCTACCTAAGGTAATTGTATATCAATAAGATCTTCCTCTATTTGCTCAGTAGTGATTAGCTTTGAAATAAATATATACAGAGCAAATCTGCCAAAAAAAGGTACACACATTTTAGAAAAACTTGTATCAGTATTTTAATATTTTATCTGTGGAGGACCCTAAAGGATGTCCTGTATCCCAGGACACTAACTGCTACACTAACCCACTACACTGCTGGCCCTTAAAGAAATTGAAAATGCATGGGCAGCAGTCTTAGTGACCAAGGTGACCCATGCAGCAGTTCAATGTACTAATAAATGTCAAAAAACTAATAAGCACCACTTTGAGTACTTGTTGTAATTGTAGAGACCAAAGGTAACATACTAATCTTATGATGCCTCAATAAATTAACTATTAATAAAATATTCAACCAAGTGGGCTTTTTTTTTTGTAGCCTTGTTTTATTTGTTTTCTTTTGCTTTATTTTTCATAAAAGTTCCTGCTATGTTTCCTAGTCTGGTCTCAAACTCCTACCATCAAATAATCCTCCTGCCTCAGCCTCCAAAGCAGTTGGGGCCAAAGGTAGTTGGCACCACGTGCAGCTTTTGGAACAATTTTTTTTTTTTTTTTTTTTTAAAGAAGCTGCATTTTAGAGCTGGGCGAGGTGGCACACTTCTGTAATTCCAGCACTTGGAAAGCTTAAGTAGGCAGATTGTTGCAAATTTGAGA